ACATACATACATACATACATACATACATACATACATACATACATACACATACATACATACATACATACATACATACATACATACATACATACATACTACGCGCATACATGCATGCATACATACATACATACATGCATGCATACATACGTTCACGCATACATACATACACACACATACATGCATGCATGCATGCGTACATGCATGCGCACATACAAAATTATATCCGCCGACCCCGGTGAAGCCTTCGCCTAGCGGGGAAGGTTGGAAGCTTTAACCGTTGTTGTATGGCACCCTTGTCAGCTGCCTAAGCGTGTGAGTGAGCGGGGCCTACTTGCGCGCGTATGGCTCTTTTTGTGTGACTGTGAATGTGTGCGCGTGAAGCTCCGCGCTTTTCTGTTTGTTGTTTTTTTCCGTGTTTGTGTCTATGTCCCTGTCTGTGTCCATGTCTGTGACTATGTCCTGTGCCCATGAGTCTGTAAATCTGCAAAAAATTACACCACCGTAGACCCCAAACAGCTGGGACAACAAGGAAACGTTCCCAAGTCAACTTTTTGAGACATCAACAAGAAAGAAGACAAGAAGGGAACGGAGACAAGAAGGGAGACAGAAGGGAAACAAGACGGACACAATGATCAACAAGAAGGGAATCAAGAAGGGAGACACAAGGAAAAAGAGGGGAGACAAAACGGACACAATGACAAACAAGAAGGGAGACAAGACCGGAGACAAAGGGAGACAAGAAGGGAGACAAAAGGAAACAGACACAGTGACCAACAAGAAGGGAGACAAGACCGGAGACCAATGACCAACAAAAAGGGAGGCAAGAAGAGAGAAGGAAGACAGGGCAATGACCAACAAGAAGGGAGACAAAGGGAGAACAGAACAACTAGAAGGGAGGACAAGACTGGAGACCAGAAGGTAAGACGGACACTGTGACCAACAAGAAGGGAGACAAGACCGGACACAAAGGGAGAGAGAAGGGAGACAAGGCGGAGGGAAAAAAACACCCTGGCGATTCGCGCAGCAGGTGCTGATGCAAGGTCAGAGGGCGATGTCCAACGCAAAAAACACACCGGCGAAAAAAACACCCTGGAGCTAGGACCGGCGCAAAAAACACACCGGCAACAAAGGGATTCGAGGAAAGAACCGATGCAAAAAACACCTCAAGTTTGGACAAGCGCAAAAAACACACTAGACAAGTAGGAATAACACTACTGTTTGGAATTACACTGGTTTCCGTCGCAATTAACACACGACCCTTGCTATACGGAGGCGTCTAGCATCACGAGGGCTCATGTGGCTTCGTCAGAAATGGCAACTGTAAAGCTTATTGCTTTGTAAACCTCTAGAAAATAATGCGTTGAAAAGGGAGACAAATTTTGAGGACATACTTTGGTCGAGCATCATTAGCATCAGCAGAGTCTCAGCAGGAAAGATGCAAATCCTTCGGGGCTCGGGAGGCTGCCTTCGAGGGGTTGGTTTGGTGTATGACTAGGGGCAAAAAACTGTAAATTATAGTGTTTTTCCAACATGTATGCAGTTTATGAACAGACGGCTTTGAAGCTATAAGCTTCACAAAGTCCTGACTGCGATATTACGCTTCTATTTGTGACCTATTTGAAGAAGCCACATCAGTCCAAGTGGTGCTAGAAATGTCGGCCGCAGACGGACATTTTGAACTTCACCAGGACGTATGTATTTACTTGCATCACCAGAGCCGGGGCAGCATTGCTCACATAAAAGCCAAATTTCTTAGGGGATTTGGAGGGCGCTATCAGAATTTTGTTTGGTCTATGGCTGGGCACAAAACACAATGAATTACAGTGCTTTAGGTGAGTTTGTGTAGCTTATTGGATAGTTGTCAATGAAAGTGGAGACCTTTGGACAGAAAACACCTTTTAATGTTCAAGATGACTACCTCTGGGAGAGAGGAAGATCCGATAGTGTTGGTGATGCTTGATGCTGCTAACGGGTGATGCTGATCATGTTGGATCCTTGTTGGAACTGAAAATTGTTGATGTGATGTCTATTTTGGTTGACGGCCAGGCGAAAAATGCTGTAAATTCCTATAATTATGCTTCTCAACGCGCTCGAGTGAAAAAAGGCAGCATGCAAGGGGACCAGCGTAAACTAGGGTGTTTTTAATAGGGTTGGCGTGGAAAGCGCTGAAAAAGCTTATTTTTTGAGCATTTTCTAGCCTAAAGCTATCTGTATTTACAGAGCTCGCTGACGCAAAGGTGGCTCCAATTTCGCCCATTGGGTGTGCCCGCACCCGGGCCCGTGCCCGTGCGCGCGTGCGTGCGGGCGGGTGCGGGTGCGTTCGTGTGCGTCCGGGCGCGTGTGCGGTGTGCATGTGCGTACGCGTGTCTGAAGCTGAGGTTGCCAGGCTTTTTACACCAGACCCTCGTGCGCACACCTGTGTGGGAGTGTGTATGCGCAGGCGTCAGAAGCTGTGCTAATCGTCGATTTTGCTGTGCAAAGAGCCTGCTGATACGCGCAGTCCCCCCAAGGGCATTGCCGGTTGGCGAAGCCTGTCAGTACACATGCAATACACTTTCATTTATACCAATTGCTTGGGAAAATGGAGAGTCCCAAATGATTGCGACCATGCAGGTTGTGGGGTCTGATATTGGCCATCCCCGCTGAAAGCACGCCCGGACTCGATGGGAACTTCGCATCCCGGCATGCCTAAGCGTCGTCCTGGAATCCCAGAACTTAGATGAAGCGAAGCAAGGTCCGTCGGTGACAAAGCTTGTAAATCCAGTCTAATCAAAAGTCAATTCATGAAGAAGGTGTCTGATTATGAAATGTCTGACATCGAGTCAAAGTCATGGATCTCATCCAAGCTGTACTTTTCAAACACAAAGAATTGTGTAGAAGGGGAGGTTCATCTACAGCGTGTTTTGGACGGTTCACAAACAAGGACTGAGGGGAAAGGCGCCAGTGGCTCTGCTCTGATGCCAAGCACCTCTCACGAACCTCCCAAAACTGCCCTTTGAGGGAACTGCAGAAAGCCTTCACCAGTGGAAACTCCGCAGAGTTCATTCAGTTCTAGCAATGTCCTGGTCATCCCAGAGTCATCCCCGCGTTGCTTAGAGGGTTTGGTGGATTTGCGGAATCCCAAGAGTCCCGAGATGTCCAGTGGAAAAAAACAAGAATCATCTGATTACGTTTTACGTTTCCCTTACTTAAGTAGGCTCCGACTTGATCAAGTAAGGAGGCGCCTACTTAGGCAGGGCCACGGGCTTGAAAAACATAAATAAATAAGAAAAAACATAAACATTGCTTCATCCAGGTCACTTTTCCGCGACGATGGCTTTTGGATCTGTTGCGCCCCCTCGGTGCATTTTTTGTGGAGACGGCTGCGCGACGATGGCTGCTCCAAACGGGTCTGCATCGTTCATCGTCTTCACAAAGCATCGTGGATTTTCACCGTGCCATCCAAGAAACCGACCCCCTATAAACACCCCACCTGAGGGGCAGTTCAGGGTCATCAGGCTAATGGATGAAGCCAAATAGGTGAAACTTCCCATCAAAGAGGTCAGGTCCGCCGAGCAGGCCTCAGTTCCGGCTTGGATTGGTGGCTTTGCACCCAGTGATTGGCTTGGTGTACTGGGTGAAGTACCAAGGGAGAGGTGTCTTGGAAGTGCCCACATTGAAGAGTTGTATTGTCGTTGGGCATAGGTCAAGTTCATATCTGCGACTTCAATTGAGCAATGAATGGGTGGTGGAAATACATGGAAATACCCTTCGGGCTGCGGGTTTGAAGAACAGGAACGACTTTGGAACAAGCAGCCCTGAACAAGTATCTAATTACTCTGCCACAACCAGAAGCAGAATCCACCAGAATTCACCCCAATCCCCCCCCACCTCCATCCCTGAATCCTAAACCTTCAAAGGAGTGATCAAGTCGCTCCCTGCAGGTTCAACGAGCCAGCGCAGTCCGAGACCGCCAAGGAGGTGAAAGACACGCTCCACATCACCCCCTCGATGGCGCGATCAGGACGACGAAAAAAAGCCCGGTTGGGTCAGACAGACCGTTGAGGATCGACGGTGACCTCGGAAGAAACGGGGGTTTCGTCGGACCCTACTAAAGACACACCCATTTCGAAGAGGCGCATGAACTGGTGAGTTTCAGGTTCGGTGGATGGGTTCAGGTGAGGGTTCGTGGATGTTCGTGGTACAACACAATATAGATACCCCATGATACATTGTTCAGAGTTGTGTGAAAAACCGCCTCGTCTATTTCCAAAAGCTGACACCCAAATGGAACATAACAGCGCTGAAGACGAGTTTCCTTCACAATCAGAGGTGTTTTCCAATGTCTGTTCTGGTCGCGGCTCACGACCATGGCCAGGAGATGTTTTGGGAGGATGGATGCATTGAATTATCGATCCAAAAACAACTCCTACTAGCTGCCAGCCCTCCTGTCATTGAAATTTCACAAGGAATCAACTCTCAGAAGCGCAACAAGAACTTGGAAGCCTTGGCTTTCGTAAGCTGAACGTAAAATACGACATTCATCACATCGCTTTGTTCAGAGCAGAGGAGGACCTCAGAAGACATCATCTCCTGTCAAAAACGAACCCAGCCATTGGAGCAATTTCACAGTTCTCTAAGAAAAATAACAATCTGCCCTCAGAATCCTCGGGTCAAGTCGTGGAATTCAAAGACCACCCCCACGACCTCTTCCTCTCATTTTCAAGCCCTGACCCTTTCTGGAAAGCCCAACTGTGAAACCATCCCTGACTGCTTCACATGGCGGGTTTATGAGACCCGCAAAGGGTCCCAAAGCCAAAGCACTGCTAGACCATATGTAATGGCCGCGGCACAGGCCTCAGCACGGTGATTGCGCAATGAGCTTTCAAAGGATGTCAGCCCAGGAGGAAGCTTCGTCTCCAGACTCGTCTCTTTCGTCGGAGCTAGGAATCGAAAACCACCGCCTGGGGTACCACCGCTTTCGACACGGCTCAGACGCAAAAGCTTCAGCTCTACAGTACTAGCCAGGATCTGAACCCATTAATGGCTTGACGAGGGAATTCTCACTTTGAGCATGGCATGTCAGGAACAACCACCAAACCAACTTGGATAAACTATGATAAAATTCAGATTCTCAACTCCGTATCACTGCAGAAGTGCACACTGCAGCGCACTTGCTTGGCAACATACCTGTACTGATCACCTCAGTCTTGCTAAGCCTTGCGACCGACCCTGCGCCGCACTGAGTTGTGGACCTTTTTGGCATCTTCGCCTGGCGACTGCTAGGAGCAAAGGGCATCGCTACGAACGGAACAAGAAGCTACGAACGGGGCTCCTGGCATCGCTACGAACGGAGCAATGTTCGCTACTAGGATTAACCCACCCCTGCTCTAAATGAATTTCCGACAACACGTGACGACCCATGTCGACCTCGTGGATTCGAGTGGAGTGTCTCGGCTCAATTGCCAGGTATATCCAGTATACCATGAACAAAACTTGCGACCATGGGCTTGGGGGTATCTAGCAAGGGCCATTCTCATGAAATCCCGACACGTCCACCGGAATCTCGCTTTCGCAGACAAGAAACTCTCATCATCAGGGCAGGCGGTGCTCGCGGCATTGAAGGCCATGAGCCCTTGTGCCAGTTGAAACAGGGCCTGTCCGGCATCAACCACACAAACCTCAGAGAGATTGAAAAGCGTCTCTGCAACACGCATCAAGGTCACCTGCGCAAGAGAGTGTGCACAAAACCTTGGAAGATACTGGAACCTGCTCATCTGCACACGAACTGAGCTGTGTGGTGCATGACAAAGTTCCACATGAAAGCTGGGCATGCAGCATGCCAGTCTACTTTCATGTCCAAGGAACCGCAATGCCCAAATTGGCCTCGACATCATAGGCCTGAAGAGAAAATCCACTTTCAGCCGATCCTTTTACATTATATATTTACAGTAAACGTTTATTCAACCAACACAATCAACACAGTCCGAGATCACTTCTCAATACAGATGGGTACTTGTCAGACAAAAAGCCATCAAACCAACACATCCTACAGCCGACACCAGCCTTTATCCAAAGCCTCCAGGTGACTTTCCTCCCCCCGTCTCCTGACCCTTTTCCGACCGGGACATGGTGGTGGTCCTCACGCAGGCGTGCCTCAGGCAGGCGGCCTCCTTGGAGGCTCCGATTGGCCTTGGGAAGCTGTCAAGATCCGAAATCAATATCGAAATATATCGAAATCATCATCGACAGCATGCCATGGGAAGCAGTCAATTTTGGTGTTCGTCTTCACAAAATCATTGTCGTGTGATTGTGGATCAAAAATTTGGCCATTGGCACCCTGTATGTCATGCCAATTCTTGGACCAACGATGGGGCCGTTGGATCCACATCCTCAGCTTGACCTGCCCGTGATTTTCCGTGATGATCCGGTCGTGTCAGGAGTCATCCTCTGGGGTTGGGCTGAAGTGGGCTACTTCAAATGAAGCCTGACTGTTGGAGGTTCCCTGAACTGAGCTGTGATGCTGCAAACCTGCCTTAGGGCGGAGTCTTGGATGCGGATGGAAGTCATAGGTTAGTTTGACTTCTTCAATGCAGAATGTTGGCGGAAAGGTCGTGACACTTTACAATAGGCTTGGCCATCCCCAAGACATTTCAGATCTTGGCAAGTTTTTCCGTTGGTCCAGGTGATTTCTGCTGTCACACCCCATCCCGGCCAAGCAGATGGGTGGGCCCCCCAAAGAACTGCTGGCGGAAGCAGAAGCAGACCAAAAAAGGCCCTTGCTTTCGGGAGAGCATAGACCCTTCCCCCCCAAAAAAAACAGAACCCACAAAAAGCACGAGTTCCTGCTCAAAAACCGGGACACGAAGGTCTCGAAGGGCTGGTTTGCCACGTTCAGAAGGTCGGGATCCACCTCCCTGGAGAGTGCAATCCTCGGTCTTTCGATCGCTGCAGCAGTGATTCGGTGAGGGAAGGCCTGTGCGACAGGACGAAGGAAGGAAGGGGTATTCTACGCATCCCCTTCTCAAATGATGGAGAAGGAGCAACTCAAGGTGCAAATGACCGAGGTATCCTCACTTCAACAAATCACACCGGATGTTCAGTCCACCTGTCCGCGGTTCTGAAGCTCTCAGATTCACACCCGAAACCCACGAAGGGGGCGGCAGATTTCGCCTCCGCAAGTGCCCAATCTCAAGTGCGCAGGAACCCTCCTCCGCCCTGCGGAACGGACGGTGAGAACTGCACGGAACGGTGAGAATGCAACGTTCGGGGCTCCTGGCATCGCCGGAACAAGGACGCTACGCTACTAATCAAACACTCAGACGACAACAGGGAGTGACGTGAGAACTACGTGGTGAGAGTGTTGAAGGGCCTCTACCCAGTAGTCTCCAAAAACGAACGAAACTGGGTCGCTGCCAGAGAATCACGGGCTTCAGATGATGGTCCCACCATAGATGATGGTTGGTGAAGAGTAAAAGACTTTGACCCCCCAAAAAAGTGATTAAGTTTTATCTACTACAGTGTACCGACTTCTTTTTGAGACTGGGACAGACGACAACAGCCTCTGATATATCTCCAGGCTTCAGTCTCTGCATGTCTGGGATCGAATCCACTTCGGAGAACCCGTGCCTGAGCAAACAAAAGAAAGACGACCACATATCAGTGAAGTTTCATCGATGCCCCCGTTCCTGGACACATCCAACTCGATCGTCTGTGGTTCATGCGGAACATCAAACGAGCCATTCCTGCTGGGCAGACGTGCCTTGCGTCTCTGTCTTGATTCCTGTGTGCACCATTGCGGCTGGAGGCGGTGCGGGCAAGACACGTTAGCAAAAGAAGCGCGGCCGCACAAAGGGTGGTGAACACGAGGAGGAGAGCATGTCTCCTCTTCCAAACCTGGTTCCAAAGGATTGGAATGGATTGCGAAGAGATCAGCTCCTCTGTATCATGTGTTCTCCTATGCTGGATGAGCCTATGAGCCTCAGCCAATTCTCGAAACCGAACCAAGGTAAAGGGCTCCGCGGGCACTAGATCGGTCGAAAATAACAGCCGGAGGCTGTCAGGACTTGTGACATAGGGGCAGGGGGGGCTCTGAGGATTGAGATCAAACAATTCAAACAGCGGCTGGTGTCCCAATGCCACAGAGCATCCGAAGCATCTCTCGCTACCGCCAAGCTCTCGTCGTTCAGAGGCTCTGCCACAGATTCATAGCCGGCCATCGGCAAACAACAAGAGGAGAGGCTTGCTTCTGCAGGGGGCTTGCCAGGTACCCATTGATTTTGGCTTGTCTCAAGAGGCAAACGCTTAAAACTTGAAAGTACACAGTTGCATAGAATAGAAGGAAGTAAAAGTGCCACATGGCTGGAATCTCCGAAATGTGTTTTGTTTAACGCATTGTAGTTGGAGATGCTTTGGGGATTGTTGGGGAACCCATCTTTTGGATAATTTTGGATATCGACATTGAAAACATAGTCGTTGAACGTCTTGGCAGCTTGCTCTGGAGCCAAGCTGGCTCCTGTGCTCGAACTGCAAAGTCAGCTTTCAGCCTCCAAAGACCCCCGCTACGGAACCAATTCGTGGGTTTTGCATTGGTATGTGAGCCTTCTTCATGCTATGGTCAACACAAGCAGCAACCCCGAGCTTTGCGCGGCAATGTTCAATCCCACTTGGACCACTGCTGGTGAGGCACGCTTCATTGGCATTGTTTGCTTTTTCTGGCGCAGATTTGGCAACGGGTCGCCCCCTTCGCACTCTTCACTCCACGTGTCCCGAAGCTGCACCACTCATGAGCTCTACTCGACTTTCATGCCACCTTGGTCGCAAAGGGGTTGCTTTTCACACAGAGCCGAGCTGGGTCCAGCTTCCGATGTTTGCTTACTGGGGCATCTGTGGTTTGGGAGGCCTCTTTGCCAATCTTCACCAACTGGTCAAATGACTTTCATGAGAAGCGAAGAAACCCTGGTCAGGGCCTCCTGTTTGGCATGTCTATACATAGCCCTTGGAGCTTAAGGGGTGTAAACATACCACCCAAACGCCTATGCGGAGTACGATCCCACGGGAGTACCATCCGATCTCAGCGATCTTTTTGGACACAACCGTGCTGACTCAGCACAGCGCGGGTGTTTGTTTTCGTGCTGAGGACGGACCGGACCCGTGGTTGGTTCGATGCCCTTGGCGTCCGTTCGCGTCCGGACCAGACCCTACGCAGCCTCTGTCAATGCGTTCACTGAGTTCCTGGTGTTCTCTCACCTCGAAGACCTGTTCTTCTCGTTCGATCAGCGATGACTTCGCCAGTGCAAGCGATAAGCATCTTTCTCAGCGCGGTTCCTCAATATTTCTGAACGGTACACCATCTGGATTCAGCAAAGCTGTTCGTGCAAATTGACACCCTGCTTCTTCCAGCTTGCCAACTTGCCAGAGTGCCCCATGGCCCTGAATTAGCGGCTCGGCGTCCGATTCTTGAAGCGAATCTCGAATCGCGTCAGTCGACAGAGGTTTGTCCTCCGAAATCTCTTCAAAAGTGACCAATAGCTGCAAAGATTACAAGAATTAAGCATCAAAAGACTCAGTGTCCCAGTGCAAGAAATAACCCCCTGTATGTGAGAAATGCTTGGAGGACACTCAACAGCTTTGCTGGGAGAGCTCCAAGCAAGTCACGGTCAAGTTGGGTTTGGCCCAAAATACACCAACACCACCAACCAGAGTTGTTATATTCATCCACCAGCTGCGGGTATGTGGGGCATACATACCCATCTTTGAGCCTTACCCGTCTGGCTCTTATCAACTTTTCACTGCAACTTTGCCCGGCCTCCTTTTTGGCGACCATGTGCGGAAGTTGCAGGCTGCGAAATGACTGCTCAGTAGCAGAAGGATTTATCCAAACTGCTCTTGCAACGTGCCTCAACGCCAGGCATGAGACCTTCCTCCAAAGCATCATTGGGATGTTTCTTCTGGATCGCAAAATCACCGTTTTGAATAGAAAATCTCGGCCTCGGGTTATGTACAACCAAGAAGAATCCACCGAGCACGGGCGTTTGGGCGAGTTGTGTGAGGTCGTCACGCTGCACGCCTCGCCCTCAGCCGCGCGCGTAGGTGGCTGGAATCTACCCTATAGATCCGGTTAGACAATTAAGGATGCCTATTAGTCAGAAAGGTCTTTTTTACTATTTGTAACCTAATAAGATATCTCTTAGCTGTAGACAAAAGTCAATGTTGAAAACAGTCTAGAACTGCCGAGCGAAATGCCCAGCAGTTGGTTCAGCTGTTGGCACAGCATGTCACATATCACTATGTAAGTCTCATATATATATATATATACATAACTGATTATTTACTCTCCAGGATACCTTCAGTTATATGCTTCAGAAATATTCTCTCCAATATTCTCTAATAGCAATTGGCACCGTTTTACTTTGTCCATTCCATGTGCACTGCAAAGCGCCAATGCCTCAAGGCTTTCATTGGCCCTTGCAAAGGAGCATTGCCCCTTGTACTGGCTTGTGTCAATGTTTGTACAACACGCATCATGTCTTCTCCAAGGAAGCACCACAAAAGGCGAGGGGATATGAATCTGCTATAGAGAGCAGAATGGCATAGAGCATGCTGTTTTGCTGTGCGTGTGAACAAACCTCTGGCCTGCAATTCTGTGGTCTGGTAGTGGCAAAAAAGCAAGTGGGCCATGCGCCCATAGGCAAATACAGCTTTAGTGAAAGCTTCAGCATCAGGTTCACCTTCACACAGCCAAAAGCAAGAAGCCAAGAAGTTGATATTTATTTGCTTTTGAACATTAAGATTGATTTTCCTGCCAAAAGGCCTAAAAGCAAGAAGCCAACAAACAACTTGATTATTTTTTGCTTCTGAACATAAAGGTTGATGTCCTGCCAAAAGGCTGAAAGCGTCAGAGTCTTTGTTGTCCAAGAGCAAGGTTTAAATCTGCTGGCTCATCTTCAGCAGAAAATATACCTGTTGGTGCTGCTCTTTGGTCATGTCACATAGTGTGAGCCAATATGCCAATAAAGGATCAACCAAGCATTTGATTTCTGCCACCTTGCCTCTCAGTTTCACAGGCCCAGCTTTGCGAATGATCATTGAAAGCTTGGACAGGCTTGTAATAGGCTCTAATGAACTCCCACATGGTCAGCGTGTTCTGCTCTGGTGTTGAAGGGAGAAGGATGTAGATGATGATGAACATTATGCTGGCATATATATATATATATTGGTCTGCACCAAGGTACTTGGAATGCATGAAGTCGGCAGCAATGCTGCAAGCAGTGACCCCAATAATCTTGAAGATGGAGCTGGTGGACTTATTGCGCCAAACCCTCCATGTATCTGGCCTCCAGGTTGTTGTTGTCCAGGCAGCATCCTGCCTCCAATGAGGCCTTTTGGAGGCCAAGCATAAGGAGCAGCAATTCTCAGCACTGCTCCACCTTGGTAGCCTCAAAAAAACACGCGTGTATTCTAAGTCTCCAAGGGTGCCAGCCACACAGCACCTAAATCCTCCAGCTAGAGGGGGCCCAGCTCTTTTGTGTGCTGCAGAACCAGGCAAATACCTGAGGGCCAATGCTTGCAAAAACAAAAGCAGAAAAGCCCATGGCAAAGGAACTACTTCGGCCCTAGTCGCTCTTTGCCTTGGAAGTCTGTAGCTGGCCAGACTCCATGAAACATGGCATTGAAACTCCAGCTCAGCAA